ATTATGTTTTTTATTGGTCTGAAAATGAATATTGTTGTATAGCTAACTGGTCGTGTAGTTGAAGTGTTTAAGCAAGGTCAATTAACAAAATTTTATTCTAATTAGCAACCCAAAAAAAGGAAAAAGAAAAAGAAAGCACCAAGATCTTATTCTAAGGACAGAATTCTAGCACCGTTAGAAAAGGATATAAAATTAAATCCAGTCGTACTTGTGGCGTGTTTGGCAACCCTTTGACTTTAAGACTTTGCATTTAAACAAAGGACATTGACTCGATTTTTTTTTTGAAAAACAAATATCCTTTAGCATTGTAAAATAATTATTGCAGTTTTTTTTAAAAATAAGTCAAAAAATAAAAATAACACAAAGGGGAATAGAGGAATTTGCAGGCTCAGGCGAGCGAGACAATAGTGGCAATGGTGTTGACGTCACGATGACCCCAAGCAACGTGCTGTCGAGGTCGGCGGCCCAGGCAAGCCTTGTGACCCAAGGTGGCGCAATGCTGGGATTGCACGACAAGGCAATGCGTCACGGCGAGATCCAGCTCACTTATGGATCTGACGCTGATGCCGGCATTGAGAACTCACGCAACGCTTCGTAGGCGAGGTTTAGCTCACTTATGGCCCTTGCATCAACGTCAACCTCAAGAAACCAAGCAACGCCGCCACCAGGGTCGTGTGACCCCAAGCAATGGAACACCGGGGTTGTCCAACCACCAACGGCTCAGCTTTGCCAAAAGCCCTCACGACGACGTCCTCGTTTCCCATGTCTTGGTGGTGAAGCTTACTCGTCAAGGCCGCCCAGCCCCAGGCAAGGTGCCATCGCTATGCGAGCCGCCGCTTGGGCCGCGCGATGCCGGCTAGACTTGGTGAAAATTCTCTAGCCAAGTTCTCGCTTGAGTGGAGATGGAGATCTATACTTTGCTTGTGAGGGTAAAAGTAGTAAGGGTAAAGTTAAAAAAAGAAAAAAAACCACTGGCCTCGAAATTACTTTCCATAAAAGCCTCAAAGCCAAAGCAAAGGAGGCTTGTCTTGAGTCATGAGCATTTTCTTCAAAGGAAAACTTTGCATCGAAACTTTTGAAATTCTTAGCAAACACCGAAATTTTAGCTTAACCACACCATTGGAATTCCGAAACTGCTCGTAAATGCGGTTCCAAACGCACCCCCAGTCGGTCAAATGTTTAACTTGAAAAAAATGCGACACCTTCTCGTGGCACTTGGGACAGGTTTTACAGTCAAATATGTTCATAAAACCATCATGTCCTTTCGCGGCAGTACTGATAGAAGGGTGCAGTGACGTGGACTGGCTCGTTTGATTCGATCCTTGCCATCATGATTGATGGTTTTCCAAAACAAAAACAAAAACGAAAAAAAATCGTGGGATGAGTTAAATGTTTTATTTTTCCCCTTATTTATTGAAGGGTCAAATGACCTTCTCTTCTGTCAAAGAGGAGAGGAGTTTTGATGTTGAATCTCTGTTTCTATATTTTCTCCCTTTTTTTCAGAAATTTAAACTGAGGGTCAAGTTGACTTTCTTGCAAGTAATGGAATGAAATTTCACTTTAGTTGAGCACAGTCAAATGCCATATTAATTATGCATACCAAAACGTGGGATGCGCTCCATATTAGCTCCATTCTTGATACATAAATTCTGATTGAAGCTCAAAGGAACTTTTTTTCCGAGAAGCGAAATTAAATTCATGAGACGAGTGGATAGAGGCGACAATGTGAATGTAGAGCCTTGCATGCCCGAGACGTGAATTATATGTGATTTTTTCCGTTGGAATAATCCGTATCGCCTCTCACTTGGTCGACGTGGGACACGCTCGAGATGATTTCTTTGCGAATACAGTACATATGGGACAGCAAAATTATGTTCAGGAACGTCCGGTTCGAGCAATTCCGTCTCCGTCTCCGAGGTAAGGGTTTGAGAGATCTAAAACACCATAAATGAACTTTCAAATTCAGTTCTTTTGGAAATGGAATCCTAGCTAGTCTTTTGTTAATTGGTCCAAAAATCTTAGCTAGTCTTATCCGAACCACGTTGATCTACATTTTGTCTCTAATTTCGTTCTTATTTTTAGTTTAGAGCAAATTTTGAGAGCTTGGTAACCTTCGTCCAAAAGAACATACGCAAGAAGAGATAGATCGGCCGCCGCTGCCGACGGCTTTGACGGGGTCGTCATTGTCGGGTGGAGGTGGTCGCCGGTCCCGGTCCAAAATAATATCATAGAAGCTCAGATCTTGGAGAGGTTCGAAGCATTTTGACGAAAATTGGGACTTTGATGCAAGATGAATCGATCCAATTCGGCAAATTAACAATTCACGGGTGGCTTTTTCGGCAACCTCGGGTTTGAACTTAGGCAAATGATTGAAGCGTCAGCCTTCAAGAATTTCTCTTCGTGTAGGGAACTCACGAGGTTGGCCAAAATTATTCCAACAAAAGAAACAGCACGACTAACGTTAGAAACACGGAAAATACTTGTCATAATTTGATCTATATGGTTAATCGATCTTATCGGGTAAATCGAGTGGGATCGTCGTGTGACTCCCACATTTGATCGTGCATCGTGACTAGTCTAATATGGACTCGATCATAGAGGCTTTATGGACTTGATGGAAGTGCCCACCGTATGGGTTGGGCATGGATATGTAGGGATTTTGAACTAGCCGGATCGGGTTCAATTTAATCTTTTTGAAAATGGGTAAAGCCTCGACAAACGCCTCCTCCTCGGGGTCGGCTCCCCCCACCCCGGCTCTGCTCGATGAGTTTTTCCAAAGAAAAATGTTAGTAATCTTGTAATCGTAAGATGGGGTTCGGGCAAGAATTCCGAGGCTCGAAACCTTACCGCCCCGGCTCCCTTTCTATTCTTTACAGGTCCGACCCGATCAATCCGTTTAGAACCACTCCCTAATCAAGTCTAGCACGGCACACCCGCGAAACAAACCCTATACCGGGCTATATGGTAAAACAAAACATCACAAGCAGCAAGGCTTACAAATGGTAATGGCTCGGATCAAAAAGCAAGGAAGAAGAAGAGGGAGGGAGGGAGGGATGGATGACGATTTCTTTCTCCTCCCTCCCCAACCCAACGTGGGTTGCCATCCCCCATCACCAACGCTCCTTCACAATTCGCTCTGCTTTCGGCACAAGAAAGCTGTGCCCTCGACGCGACCCGATTCCACCCAATGCTTGGCCAATCCGCGTCAAGAGCAGCGCGGAGGTTGACGAGGGTCTTTCCCATTTTGGGAATTGCTCTGATGGCCCCCAGAAGGGAACGGGCCCCTCTATCAATGCGCAGATTCCTCCTGTTCCTCTGGCTTCTGTTGCCTCGTGATGAAGAGTCGGATGGGACTTTGCTCGGATCAATCCTACGCCCCATGTCTGTACGATGTTTCCCCCCCTGCTCTGTGTACTTTTACTAGCGTGAGGAAGTGGGAACAACAGTGATTCTGAGTAGCTGGGGATGTCCAGAAGCCGAATTCGGCAACGAGGAGTTGCCGTATCGATCGCGGGTCTCTCTCGTCGTTTAGGGATTCACGCGGGGCATGTGCCGCCTTTATAATTCATCGTACCGTGTCGTCTGAGTGAGTATATACAAGCGGCCGACCGCGTTTTACGAATACGTGCGTACCATTGAACAGTGAGGATTATCTGTATGGGATGCCCGCCGGAACCTTCTTTCGTGTGTTTTACCTTGATTATGAAGTCGGGTAAAGGATGTTTCGGGGACTCGGGGGTTCGCCCTACCAAATGTGGACGCCTCGTCGTTCGGAGAGTGTAAACAAGTAAGACTTTCGATGCAAAAACGATGGCGCCACTGATTATAACTAGAATGCATTTGGTAACTTGTCAAATAGTAACTGATTCTGTTTTTTGGTTCCCATAATCAATTTGGGAATAGAAATCCGTTTGTTAAATTTTTTGTACCCGCAAAAAATTGTGCCTAAAATTAGTTTTGGCACAGAATTAAGAAGCAAAAAAAAAATAACTTCTTGATTCTGGAATAAATTTTTCGGAACTGATTTTTCTTGGTTTTCTTCTTTTTTTTTTTGGTTTTGTCGTTGTTCTTCGGCTTGTTGCCGCCACTGCCTGCCGATCGGCCACAGGCCGAGCCGAGTCGGCGAGGGCGGCTCGTAGCCGCGATGGCGAGGCCTCACCTAGCCAAGGCGAGGCCAACCTTGCCGTTTCCAACCTAGGCGACGGCGAGGTCGACCTCGCCCAGCCAAGGCAGGGCCGACCTCGCCGTCGTGACCGGTGAGGCCGGCAGCGAGAGCTGTGACGCCCTCACCGGCCCCGGCCTGTGATCGGTCGCTAGCGGCTGGCCATGGGCAAGGAAAAAAACCAAAAAAAGAAAAAAAAAAGGAAAAAAAGAAATAAATATTAAAAAATTCAAAATATTATTAAAATATTATTAATAAAAAAAAATTTTGTGTAGTTACCAAACGCATTTCTGTTCTTTTTCTATTCTAAGAACAGAAATTTTGGGCAGTTACCAAACGTCTTCAAATGCTTAAAAATTATTTCCGGGAACGGAATAAAAAAGAATCATTTCTGCCCAGAATCTGATTCTGGGCACAGAATGGTTGCCATGCGCAGCCCTAGTGAAAATCGCCAATTTTTCTCAAAAGGGACCGCATTATTATTATTATTTTTTTAACTACAGCATGCTTATTAAGCAGAGATCGTATCGCGATTCCCCCTCGCACGAAATTCTCAATCCGCCGTTCGTTGTTTGAGCTTAGTTTGTGTTTCATGTCGTGTCATAATCGGGTTTTTCTCGGTAAATTCGAAACTACGGAACATGAACAAAGAAGTCCGCTTTAGCCAAGTACACAGGCCCAGGACCAGGCCCAAGACCAAGCCCAGGCTCAAGCTCAGGCCCAGGTCCAAGCCCAAGTTCAGGCCCAAGCCCAAGCCCAAGCCCTACCGCTATCTGTTGGGACCAAGCTCTAAAACCTCGATTTGAACTGTGATCTTGGTGGAGAGCGAACAGAAACCGGAGTGACAGAGCTCCAGAGCCGAAGAAGAGGAAGGAAGGAAGAGAAGGAAGAAGCTTCGAGAAATCTGACATGGCAGAGCCGCCGCCGAAGAGAGGAGGAGGCGGGGGAGGAGGAGGGCGCCCTCTGCCGCCGCACGGGAGAGGCGGTCCCCCGATGATGCCGCCTCCTCGCCCCCGCTTCGAGCCCGTCGAGCGAGAAAAGGTTCGTCTCTCTCCGAAAGCATCCACTTCTACTCGCGCACACCGTGCGTTTGGGTCTTGCTTCGTTCTGTATCTTGCGTCTCCTATGACGCCTTCTCTCTTGTGCATCTCGGTCGTTCGGAATTACGACACATAACGCAGGCGCGGGTGCTGCGTTGGGGCGCGGTTTGCTTCTAGGGTTTAGTTTCGCTGCTAGGATTCTGACGTGGTAGTTCATTGGCAATCCCTCTACGTCGTACCCTGAAACTTTTGCAAGTGACGGGAGATGGTTTTTTGTGATTACTTGGGCTTCGGAGCGTGCTTACATCGGGTCTCGCACTGGAGTAGTGGTTAGATTGGTGTGATTCTATACTTGTTATCGAAAAAGCAGGAGAACCCTTTGTTTCGTTTTCCTTTGATGGGTAAAGACGATGTGTTAGAAACAATGAACGGTACATAAGCTTTTAGCATGAAGGGGATCTATGATAGAGAAGAAATGGGTGTATTTCTTGATCATGCTATGAATTGATGGGGTTCTGTCTTCACTTGGACCTCTGTAACTGATAATTTTCCCTGTTTTGAAATGCAGACATGTCCGTTATTGCTTCGAGTTTTTACCAAGGTAGGCTCATGCTCTTCTTCTTTTTTTTCTTTCACTTTGCATATGTGGAGTCATTCGTGTGAAGCCGCTGAAAATGTTGAAGTTTTTGGCTTATTGAGAAGTGTTGACCATGGAAGGGATTCTTTTGTCTATCTGGTTGAAGTGTCATGGTTAGAACCTAGCATCTTAAAATAATATAGAGAGATAAAGAGGGGACCAGGAGATGTATGAAACTGGCCTCATCCTTGTCTTCAACATTTCCAAGTATTGTAGGAAATGGATGCTCTCAAATTGCTATGATTCCGAGTTAATAGGGTTCTGGTTAAACTATTACTTGTTTTTCATTCCTCGGTAATGAAATAACTATTATTTTCGCTATTCATCTTTCTTTCTGATTTGTGTGATTCTTGCAAAAATTGACTGGTGAGGTTTTTCTGCGGTCCCCCCAATGACATGAGAAAACAATAAAGAAACAAACGAGAATGCATCAGCAACTTGAAGAGGCCAATGCAGTATATTCTCATTTTCTCTTTCATCCATATATGAGAATTAAATCCTAAATTTGACACAAGCACCGATATGGTTGCTTGGCAGGTTGTGCTAGAGTACCTGCCTTGCAGCAGCGTATGACTTTTTAAGTTATCATCGTTTGTGCATGCCTTTTCTATGTGGATGTGATGATGCTCTTCCATTTGATAAACATCTCTGTTCAGAGAATAAACGGTGATTTGGCTATGATGATGGCCATGGAGTTACGTGTCACTGTTTGCTAGTGAGAGCTTGAGTGCTGTCAAAATCTCTTGTTTCCTTTTCCATGATGTCTCTACGCTTCTGCAATACTTTAATTTCACTGAGAAAGGATAAAGATGACAACATTTTTGCTAACTGTTCACCATATGTTGAGGTGCCCTATGCTGTGAACTTTACTCATTTGCTATATGTCAATTAAATTTAACAGCTTGGGGGCCATCATTCCAAGGAAGACTTTGCAGTGAGAGGCAAAGAGCCCAAAGATGAGGTTCAGATTTATACATGGAAAGATGCTACTTTGCGCGAGTTGACGGACCTGGTATGCGTTGTCGCATGACTTTATTTCATTATTAGTATCCCTGTCTATTCAAGTCCATGCATTTGATATTGGTCATATATGGAATCTGAAGATTTCGTACTGTACATTGCCACTAATAAACTATCCTTCCGTGAGAATTTAAATTAGGATTACCAGTTAGGTTCATATGTAAAAGGATGAAGCAGGTTTTTAATTCTGTTTAAGGTTTAGAAAAGAGGGGAAAAGGATACTGGGCGTGGGAAATGTGGCTTACTAGTGAGCTGCTTTAGATCCCTGAGTTATTGAAGAACATGGTGAAGGTAGATGGTTGAGGAACAGGAAAAAGTATGAATTATGTGGATAAGATGCTTTTGTTGTTGCAATAATTTAGCTCTAATTTGCATTTGGATCACGTGGATAGCCAGATCATAATTGAGAACTTGTAGGAATTCTTTTGTCAAAAGATTTCCTTTGAGAAATTGTTATGAGACAAATAGATGAGCAAGTGAAAGGATCTGGCTTGCAAGTGCTAGAGGGACTTAGAGTTGGCATTGACGTGATGCTTGCATATCTTTGCTACATTTACATTTAGCTTGTTAGGTGCTGGAAGGTACTTCTTTATTTTCTTGGTGGTCTGTTTGTTTTAGCTTTAACTGGGTTATTTTTACCACTAAAATTCTGAAAATAGTGCTTATGTATAATCTACCACTTTGTAGGTAAAGGAGGTAGCTCCGGAAGCCAGGAGAAGGGATGCAAAATTATCATTTGCTTTTGTCTATCCAGATAAAAATGGTCGTTTTGTGGTTAGAGAGGTGATTCTCTCTGTCTTCTCTCTCTCTCTCTCTCTCATGCATACACCCCCCCGCACAGCCATTCACATGCACATCCACACGGCGCACCCACACCTTCACGCACAAACACGTGTCTCTGGTGACGAAAGCTACGCTTCTTAGGTTCTGTATAGTATGGTCCATCATATTTATAATTGAATTCAATGTTACTTTTAACTGATCGGTCTATCTATTTTATTTTACTATGATTAATGAATACTTTTCATTCATTACATGGATTACTAGTGCTGATATAGCCTCGTTTTCTTTTGTACCAGCCACTCTTTTTGTTTGCTGTCTGTCTCTCTGTCTGTCTCTGTAACCTCTGAAATCCTTCTCTCATCCGTTGGGCCATTATCTTTAAAATGTATGACACAAGGAAGAAGTGCATATTGTTGCCTACTACGAGTTTGAGATAATAAAGAATTGACTGCTTCAAATGGGATCCAAAGTGCCTAGGTAGATAAAAGATACTTCCACGGATATCTCATGATCCTGGGTGCTAGGTGTGTTTGATGTATACAAATTCATGACAGCGAGATGCTTTGGAATCAATAGATATTCACTGCTGGGGGTTAAAGCTTAAAGGTTTTCGGCTCTATAGCTTCTTTAATGTTTGTTTTCGGAGAATAGGAAGATAGAATGCTTATAAATTCAATCATACTTTATGCCTAAAGGTCATATTTGCTAGGCATAAATGCATAAAAAATTTGAGCCGCACCTCTCACACGGCCTAAACTCGGAGGCTTAATTCATGATACACCCTTGTCTCATGAAGGTGGGAAAGACCTTTTCTTACGGCAATGGGAGACGACTTGATGATTCGAAGACATTGGCTGAACTGAGCTTTCAGGTGAGATATCACCCTCTTGGATGTCACACTTACCCTACTTACAATCAGGATATGTTACTGAAGCCTTTTGTTGTCTTGACAGATTGGAGACTATCTGGACGTGGCAATTCTGTAAAGAAGCGTTATCCTGATCCTTATGTTTTGTTTAGCCTAAGTTATAGGTTGGATTGCTTGTTACGAATTTGTATTACGACATATATAAGATCCTTCGGGTAAAATGTGTTAGAGTGTCTGTTTCTTCCCTGGAACGAGTCGTCCAAGCGGGGTGGTTGAATAGACTTTTACCTTTTTGATTAATTTAAATCTTGCAACCGCCGCATTTTCGACATTTTATTTAACTCGAAACACCTCAAACTCTTGAAATATACGGAGCACGTGAATTCTCATATATAATTTTTTTTGTCGTATACTCTTTTTAAAATTCAGATTAGATTTGAGATTTTGGTGGCTCTGCCATGTGGGTTAGAAATTGTCTTCTGGATGTGATGCGGGTTCATAAATTTTTCACGATTCACTTGATTTTGACAAAAAACAAAATGAAACTGGATGCATCTTTCGCCGTTTTCTGTCTTGCACCAATTTCATTTGCCCATTTTAGTGAGATGTCTTTTCGGCAAAGCAGAAGTTGATTACGATAGAATATCGCCAGGGTCCAATTAATAGACACAATATTCAGTAAGACATCACATCAAAATCTAGAACGCGACGTGTGATTATCAGTGACAACAATCGCTCGAAATAAACAATTTTCTCACTCCATGCTTGTTGCTAAACATCACGCAAAACGGCGCATTACTTTTTGATGATGTGGCTTGCGACGTCAACTCGTTGACTCCTCAAATGATAGATTCTTGAATTTTGACCCAACGTATAATGTCTGTTCTTAAATTATTAATTTCTTCAACATGATTTATGAATTTTAATTCAATATATAATGTCATTCGTAAACTTTCAATTTGTTTAATTTGATCAAAAAATTTCGATACATGTTCAATTTAGTCATCGAATTATATAAAAATATTTAATATTATCTATTCATCGATTTATGTTCAATTTAGTCTCTGAACTATATGAAAATGTTTAATATTGTCTATTCATCGATTCAAGTTTAGAGATAGTATTGAATATTTTCTAAGGACTAATGTACCCAAAATTTACGGATTACATTAAACAAATTAAAAATTTATGGACGACATTATACATTAACATAAAGTGTAAAGATTTTATTGAACAAATTAAAAATTTAAGAACGACATTGCACGCTAGTAAAAAATTTATGACCGTTTGTGTAATCACACTGTATACATTCGATGTCTCTTCTTCGCAAGGTGAAATGCGGGGGGGCCAGCTGGCAGTTGCCGACGCGGAGCAAGCGCCAGTACAGCTTGAGACGGCGTCGTTTAGCGGGTAAATCCGTCTTAATCAGCAAATGAGATGATCTCGGCGCATGACACGCACAGCTATAATTACGCGAAGACGACCCTCTGAAAGCGATCGCTCGCTCTCTCTCTCTTCTCTCTCCGATGCGCATTTCCTGAAATTTCTTTTACTCACACTCCTCCCAATTCGCCGACGCTCCTCCCCGACGCTCCTCGCCGCCGCGCCCCCGTCGCTCTCCGATTACCGCCGCCGGAAGAAGAACGGCCGCCTCTCTTCGTGGCGAGATTGCGTTCGCCGCCTCGAGATCGCTCCATGATTTGAGCTCCACGGGGTGTGGGATTCGGTCCCCTCCTTCGCGTGTCCCGCTTTCTTCGCTTCCTCGCTCTCGTCGCGTGCCGCTCGGCTCGCGATTCCGACGCTCCCGGCGACTGATTCGTGCATTGTCGCGGTTCTTGCAGGTCCTGGCGGTGCGATGGCGTTGAAGCGCGGGGCATCCGGCGTCGGGATCGGTCGGAGCAGGGGCGGCGGATCGCGGCTGGCTCTCGCCGTGCTCGCCTTCTTCTGCGTGCTCTCGCCGCTGGTTTTCTTCTTCGGCCGAGGCCTCCGCACCGGCTCCGCTCACGGTCAGTGCTCGTGGCGTCGAAGTCGCGATTTCTGTTTCTCGTTTTTTCTGCGGTGTCGATTTGCTCTTGGCATTTTCGTTGGGTAGGATGTGCGGATCTCGCTAAAGTGATGAGATGGGTGATTGATTGGGCTTTCCTTTTTCCCTTGCGGCAGTGGAGCTCCTGGTCTTGACTTCGCTCGTGTAGTGATTTTTCTTATCTCTCATGACTGTGATGACGACGATGATTGGGATTATAGATCATTGAGGAGTTGCTCCTGAATGAGGAAGTATGCTGTGGATGACTCTATTCTCTAAATGGCTGGATAGTGCAAGTGTTGTTTCAGTACGACATTGAAGTAAATAGCTTGAATTTCTGATGGATAGGCAATGACATCCTCTGAGGTTGCGAGAATTAGATTCCAACAAGCCTAAATACATCACCTTGAAGTCTAAGTTGAGTTTCGAAGGTTTATTGTGAGCCAACTCCTCAACAACTCTTATACTTCCGCAGCTAGGTTAATGAACCCGAATTAGTGCCCCTCTTGTCATTTACTGATGGTTGTATTATAGATGACCCTAAGGTTACATTAACCTTGTTGAAACTAGTTTTGAAGTTAGGTAGCAACAAAGTCTGCAAGAAGGAGGTGTAGGATCAGAAGAAGGTGATACCTTTGATTTAAGCTTCTTCAGAACGTCTACAAGGACAGTTTTAGGGAGTTTCCTTGGTTGTAGGCAAGATAATATCCTAAAAAGGTTGCAATCTCGAATGGAGACTGTTTCTACCATCCTCCCTGGAGTTGCCTTCATATAAGTGGATCCTTCATGAGTTTGGTGGCAGTATTTGATGGGTCTAAATCATCAACTAAGAATGTTTAATTGGTTTGTTGTCATTAAAAGGAGGAGCATGTTAACATTCGTGAAATTTTTTTTGGGTAGGTAAAAGAGAAGACTTCTATAAGGCAACAAGGGAGTGTAGACCAATATATAAGAACAGCTCAAATCCACAAGGTCTTACTTACAAGACTAATCATTTATAATGTCGATTGAAGCACCTACATCCACACATAACTTTCCACTATAACAAAAGTGTAAGACTCTTAACCAACTTTCAATAATTACAAAAAGGGGCATCTCTCTCTAATGAAGGCTCTATGGTTCCGCTCTTTCCAAATCAACCAAAAAACAGCAAGAAGGATTGAAGAGAACCATCTCTCCTTAACTGAGGGAAAAGAAAACCTTGCCAAGCCCATAGTTCTTGTTCAATAGATCCTCCTGTAACCCAAGATAGCCTGTGCAGTAATAAGAAGTCGCCAATATCATTCTGGTCCATGGACAGTGAATGAGGAGATTTCTCAGGCTTTGCTTCTCTTTTGCTTAAAAAGCATTAATTGACCAGCACAATCCCTCTTCATTGCAAATTGTCTAAGGGGAGAATACGTTGCCAAGATGCTTCCCAAGCAAAGAATGAAACTCTAGATGGAACTCTCACTTTCCAAGAAAAATCCTCTTTGCCACTGACGATCTTATTTTCGAGCAAATTATAATAGGACTTTACCGAAGAAGTTCCATTTCTACCTCTACTCCCAGACAAAAGTAGCAACAGGAGAAATCTTGAGTTGTTCAACAAATTGAAGAACTGACAAAAGCTTCAAGTTCCGAATCTTGGGCTTGTCTCCATGGGTTGATCTTCCAAGTAATTCTCCATTTGGAGAAATGACAGCAAGTGTACACAAGAGCCTCCTTGTTCCTAGATATGTCAAAGATGTCAGGGAAATGATCTTTGAAAAGAGGGATTTCAAGCCCAGTGTGCAAGCCAAAAGTGTATCCACTTAGCATTTCCCACAATAAACTCGCTCCACTCATCTTTTTGGAGTCCATTCTGTTCCCAAATGTTAATTACTACTGGTCGGATGCTTATGCAGTAAGTTTGTACAGATTTCAGAAAGATTGTATCTGTATAATGAATAGTTTTGCAGTGACCAAATGATTTGATATTTTTTTGTGGAAAAAAGTGGTTGAAGAAACAGCCTTATAGCAGTTCTTTTCCTGCTTGTCTGTATTTTAATTGAAATTGAGAATTATAGGTAGGTAATCTTTGTGATGGGAGGCAGCCTTTTGAATGGGAAGGGTTGTGGAAGTGAGGTTTCTGGATGTCTATTAGAAAAGAAGTTTGCCATCATGTTGAAGCTCGAAATCCTGGGTTACAAATTATATTTTTAGAAACTGAAGTAATGGAAAATGCCCATGGTTTTAGGTTTTTGTCCCATGCTAACATCACTGTATGGAGAGATGCTGATCAAGAGTATTATCGTTAATGATGTTAGAGTTTCCAAGGGTTAGAAGGGCAGAGCATTGTGTCCCATTAGCATGAGAGAATGGGGCTAAAATGATATTGTTGCCAGGATAGACCGCCGAGCTAGTTGGTCAATGGCCATTCTTGTTCAATGGCTTTTTTTTTTTGGCTGTCCAAAAAAAGATAGGGTATACATTCTTGCTTTCATACTTCCTGTAGAGTACAGCCTGAATAGCTTGATGTTATTAATATTGTATATTGATCTATTTAGTTCCAAATCAAACATGATAAAGAGAATTGCCATTCCATTTATACATTGTTCTGTGTTACAGTTAACCGTGAGAATGAGAATGCTAATTTCCATTATCGCTTCCCATCTTTGTTCCATTCAAACCTAATTTGTACTTCCTTGTAAGCCTAACTTAATACTAAGTCCCTTGTATCTTACCTGGGAATAGGATGACCTGGTTGGGCCTGATATTAGGAATTATCTCTTTCTGTTCTAGCGTGTTAACTGTTTGAATTTATCTATGGTTGCACATGCTTTGGTGATGCAGTGTTTTACCTCTTGTGAGCTTATATGTTTCCATCTACAATTATTATTTAACAAAAATGATTCATGCATCCAATTTCCCCTTTCTGTAGGCGATGACTATAATGCAAATGGTTCAGGCAAGGAGGTATGATTTTGATATCAGTTTCTTCATATTTTAATGCCTCAAGATTTTCTGCTATATAATTGTGCTGATGTATAGAGTACTTGGATTTGTAGAATCTTGATTGGCGAGAGAGGATGGCATTGGAACATCTTTCATCGCTTTTTTCTAAAGAGGTGACATTCAAATTTGATGACTTTCACTTGAGCCGCCTCTTTAAGATTGCTGGTTGCTATGTAATAGTATTGAGATATATTGCCAGACCAATTATGTTCTGCCTCCTAAATGTAGGTACTTGACGTCATCACGGCCAAT